GAGCCCCCTCAGGATCCCAGAGGAGAAGGCAAAGGAGGTGAGGGGGTGGGGGCAGAAAGTGGAAATGAAAGCAGACAACAGAACATTGCTAGAGAGCAAGAAAGGAGGTGAAAGGAGGCAATTTTAGAGAAAAAAATTTTGCGATCGCTACCGGGATTCGAACCCGGGACGTTTGAATGAGAGGCCAACACCTTAACCTCTAGGCCACGAGAGCCCCTGCGTTTGTTTGCTTTCGAGTAAAGAGAAATACAACGACAAAGTAATCTTCCTGTAGTTTAGGGAAGCAGACAGACAGACAGACAGACAGACAGACAGACAGACAGACAGACAGACAGACAGACAGACAGACAGACAGACAAACAGATATACAGACAGACAGACAGACAGACAGACAAACAGACAGACAAACAGATAGACAGACAGACAGACAGACAGACAGACAGACGAACAGACAGACAGACAGACAGACAGACAGAGAGGCAGGCAGACAGACAGACAGACCGACAGACAGACAGACAGACAGACAGACAGACAGACAGACAGACAGACAGAGACCGTGAAAGAGACAAAAACAGAGAGACAGAGAGACAGAGAGAGTGAAAGAGAGAACGAAAATATTATTCTGTCAAAAGAGAACGGACGTTTATATTATATCTGTAGCCTTTCAAGCTTCAGTTTTATTGTGACGGTTAGTGAGTTTTTATTGTATTGTACATTAATTTTAATGCACGCTTAGCCAGGCTCACTGTTTGGCGAATTCTTTAAAAAGAATTTTTAATATATTCATATTACGTAAAAGTTGTACTACGTACACACCTGTCCAGTAATTTGAAAAATGTGACATCTCCATGCAGGTAACGCGCATTGAGCGTTTTTTTTTTTTTGTTTTTTTTAATGGAAATGCGCGGCATAAATGCTATTTATTATTAACCCTTTAAGCCGTTACCACCAGTGGGCCTACCCTGGTGGTACGTAAAACTGTCCGTATGCCTAGCCACAGGTACACTGGTGAGCAAGACTCTATCCTCAACCAGAGGTGGGCAAAATCCGGATAATCAATAACGGTAACCGGATAATTCTCAAAGAAACGCTATCTAAATTCAGACTCTTAAACTATCTTTCCTGACCCGCTTGCGGAAGTGGGTGCACCCATTTGTTGAAGTGATGCTAACCCGTTTTTTCGAAGTGGTTCTAACCCATTAGCCGAAGCGGTTCATATCATATTATTAGCCGAAGACGTGCACTAATATATTCGGATTTTGCTAAAGCGACTCATTGCCCAGCCCTATCATCAACCCGGCCCGCCTGACACAAAACGCGAACAGGAAACAGCATTTACTACACAATAAGGCGTTACTGGTTGTTGGTTTATTTTTTTGCTGTTGTTTTTTTCGTTGTTTTTAGTGGAAGTGGTGGTAGTGATGGGGGGGGGGGGGGGGTTGGGGTTTTTTCTTTTTTTTTGGTCTTTTTTTTTTCTTGTCTTTTAGGGGAGGGGGGTGGTTTTCTTTCTTTTTTTTGTTGGTGGTGGTGGGTTTGTTTGTTGTTTTGTTTTGCTTTTTTTGTTTTGTTTTGTTTTGTTGGGGTTGTTTTTTTTGGGAGGGTGGTTTTTTTGTTGTTTTTCTTTGAGATCTAGATGCTGGAAATGACAAGGACTACTGTGAGTGGGGTATGGAATGTAATTCGGACGATTACATGAGTGTTAGTAATAAATATATCGCGGATAAGCTCAGGCAGAATCACACAGTAGCAACAAGAGGTCAGGGCTGAAAGGGTTGACATTGCTACTACAAAATGTAGCGGTTAAGCCATTCACTATTGCAAGGAGCTGAGACCCGGAGTTCGATTCCCGCTCAATCCTTTGGTTCTTCAGTATGCACCTGCACTGCATGCTCTGTAACCTAAGTAATTTTAGTACAGACCAACTGTGCCGTGCCAAGGCAGACCGACGTATCTGCAAAAATTATTCATTATTGCATCTTCGTGTAAATGGAAGCCCATTTCCAGTACCGGCTGTGGGAAGGAGCCGAAGCGAAGGGGTTATTTTTTTTAAACCGGGCCACGGGAAGTCTACAGTGTGTAGGCCTAGGCCTAGCAGCTGTGACGTCAGATGCAAAATGCAGCGGGTGACCTTGATACAGGACTTCAGATTCAAGATTGACAATCAAAAACGACTTTGGCTTAAATTGCATCAAATCAGGTTCCACAGGAGGCACTTTGCTTACTTTGATACGCTGATTCCGAAAATGAAATCAATTTTTAGCGGCGATAACTATTTTCAAAATTCTGCATGCAAAGTTTAACCAATCAGAGCCGTTGTTGATAAAGAAAGCAAGCTATTACTTTTAATATAGTTACTGTTTATATTATGCACATAGTGATGAGAGCTGTCTTTTGCTTTCCGGGGTGCTTTGTTGTGAAAACCTCTTCATAGAAGATAAAAACCAACGACATCGGCGCACTTTTTTTTTGGTGTGTGTGTGTGTGTGCTTGTTTTGTTTGTTTATTTGGGGGTTTTTTGTTTTTGTTTTTGTTTTGTTTTTGTTTTTGTAAGTGTTTTACGGCGCTCGCAACTGCGTAAGGTCATATGAGCGCGCGGGACACACTAAACCTTTTCAGTTGGTAGGAAATTTAGAATTTTGCCCGGTGGCGGCCGAAGCCTACTCTTATCGATTTTAGACCACCAAGGGATCTTTAACGTGGGCAACTTGCACACGGGCCCTCCTAGATTTTTCGCCCTTGTCCGAGAGGGCTAGGTGTAGATTTTTCCTACCAAAAGATCAGGGGTGTGGCTGAAAAACAGCAGTAAGAAGAAGCCAAGGAGTAGCAGTAGAAAGGCTGTAGAAAGAATCAGGAGCCCAGAGGAGGGGGGCAAAGGAGATGAGGGATTGGGGGCAGAAAGAGGAGACGAAAGCAGACGACAGAACATTGCTGGAGAGCAGGAAAGAAGGTGAAAGGAGACAAATTTAGATAAGAAAAGTTTTCAGTCACTACCCGGATTCGAACCCGGAACCTTTGAATGAGAGACCAACACCTTAACCTCTAGGTCACGAGAGCCCCAGTTTTTTTTTAAGTTTTTTTGTTTGTTTTTTGTTGTTGTTTTTTTGTTTTTTGTTTTTTGTTGTTCGTTTTTTTTTGTGTTTTTTTTTTTTTTGCGGCCCTCGCAACTGCATAAGGTCACTCATATGAGCGCGCAGGACACATCAAACATTTTCAATTGGTAGGGAATTTTGAATTTTGCCCGATTGGCGGCCGAAGCCTACTCTTATCGATTTTGGACCACCCAGGGATCTTAAACTAGGACACAGGACCGCCGAGATTTTTTGCCCTTATCCGAGAAGGCTAGGTGTTAGATCTTGTCTACCATAAGATCAGAGGTGTGACTGAAAGATAGCAGTAAGAAGGAGCCATGGAGTAGCAATAGAAAGGCTGCAGAAAGAGCCCAGGCGCACTCTTTGTAATGACTATGTCAATATGTAAAAATACTAGAAAAGTCCCACAAAAATCGCCACTAGTCTGTGTCTGAACAATGTGTCAATATATGTTTATGGAAACAAAACCAACAACAACAGGTAGACCAAAAATGTATAGCCATGGAAGACAAGTGACGGAAAATATAGCTTACACACAATTAATGCTGTAAGTTACATTATAGTGACTAGCTGTCTAGCTTTTCACTTTGTCATCAACAGTAAAATGTATGACAAAGACGGGACCATCTGGAGCTCCGCTGGGCAATACAAATTAATGTTTCGTTATCATTGCTCTTGCAAGGATTGGCCCCTTTCTTTGATTGAATACGTTCATTTCATTAATATCAACAGCGCTTGAAGAAGCTGAAATCTTTTTTGTTGCTCTGTTCTACGGAGCTGAGGTGCCATAACATAAAAATATGATGCTACAGGTGATGCATCTGGGAAATAAAATATAATAAAACATTGATGGATGCCCTGAAAGAGCCTCTGGGGGCACCATAAACCGTCCCGCTCGTGTCAAATATGAAATATCGGGCGGGAAATGTGTGGGAGCAAAATGCCGTACCAGTGACCTTTTCTGCTGTTGTCTTAAGTACATATTAGTACTTGTGGATTGGTCGAGGGGTATCGGTTGTCATTCTGATATAACTTTAAAGAAGCATAGATTGATCAGTAGCGTTGATTTATATTTCATCATGACTTCCTCTTCCAAGTGTACTTTCGCCATCTTAAAACGGTGTTAATACTTGACTCATCATTAGATGGGTTCGACCCTTTCATGACAATGACAGGGGTTCACCCCCCCACCCCAAATAATTGATTTCAAAAGACCTATGAGTTGGCCCTCGTCTCGGATAGACCAAGGTAATCTATATCACCTGACAAATTTTCTCAACAACTTTTGTTCAGAAACTTCTATCGGGAGAGTTGAACCTGAAGTACTTGATACTATCACAGTCGACGGTTTTTGTTTTTACGTCGAGCCATATCGGCGGCTTCAGCTTTTTATTGGCAAGTTTGGCTAACAAGAATAAGGGATCGGACGAGCACGTACAGAAAGAAAGCGTTCTCAGAGCGTCGGTATGGGCTGTATACTCACATGAAATAATGGGATCCCGTTTGAAAAAAACATTATGAAGAGTGCGCTGCAGTATGAAAAAAGAAAATGTAGATATAGAATCTAGGCCTATTTCAAAACTGACCCCCTGAGTTGTCCACATGATTTTTCGGTAGTTTCAGACAGTAAAAAAATTATCTCTGATCTGCAGATGACGTTTAGCCCTAATATGATATTTTATATGAACAGACCAACAAAGCATAGACACACCCAGCGTCTGTGGTGTAGCCGTGGGAAGAATTCTTATCAATCACAATCTCGGTCTATCTGCAGAGACTTTGCATGTCTCTTAACCCGTGTTGGTCCTGATTGTCAAGGTCGAAGCCCGATTCCTAAATAATCGAAATTGTGTCGATGGAGGGCGTTAAAGTAAAACATCTACGTAAAAAAAAAACCTCAGATCCATAAACGACATTCATTCGAACTTTTAATGCATTCTATCTTGTAGAAAACCATGAGGTATTTTTGAGAAAGCTAACTGGCATCTGACAACCAATGCATTTAGTAATTAATCCTTTTGGCTGTTTGTCACACCTATTTTTCCAGCTTGTTGTCGTATGTTAGCTTTACAAGTGTCAGTCCTCCTCCTCTCCCCGAGTTGGACTGCAGTTTGTCAGTCAGTGCTGTTCAAACCCAACAAAACAAATAAACAATGTACTTCTGGCTTTTATTTTCTTTCGCTTGTGTCACTGGCTCCTCATTAAGCGCCCTCCACAGGTTAAAAGAGGAAGAAGTAGAGTATGGCCACGCCGAACCCGACAACGGCCATAATGTGGAAGATCAGGAGAAAGCTGCGGGCACCTTCAATCTGAGGACAGGGGAGAGAACAAGTGGCTGGTATACATCGCGAAAAGGTCTAGCCTTGATACACAGTCCATAAACGACAAGGGGTAAACACTTTATGTAAAAATATAGTGCAGGCTGCACTTTTACTTTGAACTTTAGTTATCGGTACCATACTTTAGACTCGTTTTACTTAAATTGAGGTTACGGAAGTGAAGAACTGTATCTCGACCATTGACATTTTTAAAAAACTGAGTGATACATGTAATGTGAGAGTACCGCCACAGAGCTGACAAGTGTCTAAACAGAAAGCCTGAAGTGCAGAGGGCGCTGTGAAACACCAGTTTGAAAAAAACGATATATATTGTAGTTTACTCTCATAATACGAATACGGGTACAATCCTGTTGAGATGAGGCAAAAAAAGTAAAGAAACAGATACAAATAATATATTGATAATTGTGCAATTCACTGTTATTCTTAATATTATACATAAAAAGCCAGGTTGTTATGTTAATTGAGATTTTTTTAAACGCTTAAATAACCATAATTACCTCAATAGTTCTACGTTCCTTCCAGGAAACATTCCCAAAACAGAGCGTGCTATATGATGTACCAATACACAGAAGCGTGCTACATGAAGCACCAATAAACAGAACCTATTATATGAAGCACCAATAAACAGAACCTATTATATGATGCACCAATATACAGAACCTATTATAATATGATGCACCAATATACAGAACCGATTATATGATGCACCAATATACAGAACCTATTATATGATGCACCAATAAACAGAACCTATTATATTATGATGCACCAATATACAGAACCTATTATATTATGATGCACCAATATACAGAACCTATTATATGATGCACCAATATACAGAACCGATTATATGATGCACCAATATATAGAACCTATTATATGATGCACCAATCTACAGAAGCGTGCTACATGATGTACCAATCTACAGAAGCGTGCTACATGATGTACCAATCTACAGAAGCGTGCTACATGATGTACCAATCTACAGAAGCG